AGACAGAGTCTCACTGTGTTGCCTGGGCTAGAGTGCCGTGGCATCATCTTAGCTCACAGCAACCTCAAACTCCTGGGCTCAAGCGATCCTCCTGCCTCACCTCCCGAGTATCTGGGACTACAGGCATGCACCACCATGCCCGGCTAATTTTTTCTATATATTTTTAGTTGTCCAATTAATTTCTTTCTATTTTTAGAAGAGACGGGGTCTCACTCTTGCTCAGTCTGATTTCGAACTCCTGAGCTCAAACAATCCACCCGCCTCGGCCTCCCAGAGAGCTAGGATTACAGGCATGAGCCACCGCGCCCGGCCTGTACTGTTTTTAATAATCAAGATTTGTTTACTAGTATGTTATCTTACATATTTCTATGTGTAGATAGAGATGAGATTTTTCTGCAATAGTCTATTTTGGACAACATTTAAAAATTTTGAGTAACAATGCTCCATTTTATTTTCATAATTTTCTTAGAAGCACTTTTTCCATTGTAATGTTCTGGAATTGACTTAGAAGCATTGATTTATATGATATTTTAAATGACTATAGAATTAATTCCCCTGTTAAAAAACTTTATCCTGGAAATTTCTTTCTGAGAGCTTCTTTTATACACTTTTCTGCTCCTATGGATTTTATTGCTTCATCTTTGAATCTAAACAGGGGTCCATATTGGTAAAGAATATTTCCCAGAAAATTTCCATATCATTTTGTTTTCCAAATCAATGTACATTGATTGGTGCTAATTATTCCTTACAAATTTTAGTATAAATTTATGATGTTCCATTTTCTACATCTAACCTACTGAAACATCCTTCTTAATTTTGTTCTGTCATCTCATTTTTCTTCCTATAACTTAAATAAAGGGGCATCTCAGGAATTCAAGAATTAAGAAAGTGTTAAACTTTGGGTAAGCGACCTTCTGAGGGAAGCACATAGTACCGTCTATGACACATGCTTCACTGTCAGTCCCTCCCATGTCAGACCTCAGCATTTCCCACTCTCCTCCACATAAGACCCTGTCTGCCGCCAAAGATCATGGAAAAGGAACAGTCTCTGTCAAACACTTTAATGTTCGTGTTGGAGATGCTGATTAGGAACTGACAATTATTTGAGGGATTCATGACAAAGATAGGGTTTTTCAGAATTAGTCTCAGTTCCACTGATGTGCACTGTAGATAAAATGACAATTGCAGTTCTTTGGGGATGTGAGGTTACAGAATTGCAAGAGTCTAGCTCAGAGTTTTGCTGCCTCCCTCACACACATACACAGAACACTTAACTCTCATTCTGAGCCCACCATCCTGAAAGCAGGAAGGAGTCAGGTGAGTGTTTCATTTTATTTTTTAAAATATTTTTTCTGCAACAGGGTTTAAAAAATACCTTATTAAATTAACTTTATGATACCTATTAAAACAGAACTTTCAGGAATGGAAAAAAGAATTTACTGAAAATAATTTATTTTGGGTTTGTCATTTATATTTTCCTGAAGTTGTGAGGACAATGAAAGTGAATTTAGTGTTCCCCTCTCCAATCCACTAAAGCTTTGGGTTTTTAAAAAATTGTTGTGGGTGCATAATAGTAGTATATCTTTACAGGATACATGTGATGTTTTAATACAGGCATATAATGGGAATTAATCAAATCAGGGTCATTGGGGTATCCACTACCTCAGGCATTTATCATTTGTGTTAGAAATATTACAATTCCATAGTTTTAGTTATTTTAAAGTACACCCTAGCTTATTGTTGACTGTAGTCACTTTGTTGTGCTAACAAAT